GTGGACAGGAAACATGTGTGCAAATTTCCAGGATGGAAATATACCACTGGAGAGAGACATACGGAATAGACGGTGAAGTGGAGTTAACAAGCAAGCAATATGTTTGTTCAAAAACACGGACGGAACTCCATCGGGTCCAGGGTTGAAGGACGATTTGAGCTGCGTTACTTACTTACTTAAAAGTCCTGTGCACCACCAGCGGTGCAAAGGGCCAACGTGAAAGACTTCCATCGACTGCTCGCTTTTGCCTTGACCTGGGCCCAGGTCAGATTTCTATCGACTTGCTTAATTTCCTTATTAAGGCTCCGCCGCCATGAGCCCCTGGGTCTGCCTCTGCTGCGATGTCCTGCTGGATTCCAATCCAGCGCTTGCTTGCAGATTTCGTTTCCGCCCCGTCGAAGTGTGTGGATGAACCACCTCCACTTTCGCTCTCGAATTTCTGTTGCTATCGGCTTCTGATGACATCGACGATGGAGCTCGGCATTCGAGATCCAGTTGTGAGGCCACCAGGCACGAATTATATAACGCAGGCATCGGTTGATGAAGACCTGCAGCTTTTGAGTGTTCTCCGCTGATACACACCACGTCTCGCTGGCGTATAGCAACACAGATTTCACGTTCGAGTTGATAATTCGGATTTTGGTGCGTTGACTTATCTGGTTGGATCTCCATACGTTTCGTAAACTCGCAAAGGCAGCCCTAGCCTTCTTGATTCGTGCACCTATGTCGCTCTTGGTCCCGCCGTCCGACGCTATTTGGCTGCCAAGATATTGGAAACTTTCGATTTTCTCCACTGCTTGCCCCGCTACCGTAAAGTTGGAAGGGTTGCCCGTGTTGATATCCAACGATTTGGTCTTGTTGACGTTGATGGTGAGACCCGCCGCAGAGGAGCGTTCGGCTAGGTCATTGAGCTTACTCTGCATATCAGAGCGCCGTTGTGCTAGTAGAGCAACATCATCAGCCAAATCGAAGTCGTTGAGATGCTCCATGGTGATAGGCTGCCAATTGCACCTACCATGATCTCGTCGATTACGATGAGAAACAGTAGCGGTGATAGTATACATCCTTGTCTCACACCAGCGACTACCCGGATAGGGTCGGACAAGGCTCCGTTATGCAGAACTCTGCACGTGAAAGCCTCATACTGCGCTTCGATGAGGTTGACGATTTTATCCGAGACTCCCTTGCGTCTCAGGGCGCCCCACAGATTCTCGTGATTGAGACGGTCGAAAGCTTTTTCGTAGTCAATGAATACCAAATAAAGGGACTCTTGGAATTCATTGACCTGCTCCAGGATGATGCGGAGCGTGACAATATGGTCCACACAAGATCTTCCGGCACGGAATCCTGCCTGCTGCCGTCGGAGGGTCGCGTCGATCTTCTCCTGTATCCGATTCAGGATAACTTTGCACAGAACTTTGAGAACAATACACAGTAACATGATGCCTCGCCAATTGTCGCACACAGTCAGATCCCCCTTCTTTGGGACCTTCACTAAGATGCCCTGCATCCAGTCGGCCGGAAAAGTCGCGGTGTCCCAGATATTACAGAATAGTTGATGCAACATTTGTGCGGATAGCATGGGGTCAGCTTTGAGCATCTCTGCTGATATGCGATCGACCCCTGGAGCCTTGTTGGATTTCATGCTTCGGATAGCTGCTTCAATCTCCTGCAGTGATGGGGCCTCGGAATTGACGCGAGTGATGCGCCGCACCCTAGGCAGATCATGATGGCTGGTTGGCCGTCGAAACTTGAAGAAGTTGTTTGAAGTGCTCAAACCAGCGTTTCAGCTGGTCAGTGGGGTCGGTAAGCAATTGTCCAGTCGTGTTCTTCACTGGCATCCTCGGGTTCAACCTTGCTCCACTCAGGCGTCGTGAGATATCGTAGAGGAGGCGTATATCGCCAGTATTCGTGGCTTTCTCCCCTTCGTCGGCCAGGGAGTTCACCCACGCTCGCTTGTCCCGTCTGCAAGAGCGCTTGACTTCCTTCTCTAGAGCCGAGTACCGTTGACGGGCTTCGTTCTTGGCTCCTCTGGTTCTCGCCCGCTCTATCGCGGCTTTTGCTTCTCTACGCTCCTCAATCTTCCGCCAGGTTTCATCTGTGATCCACTCTTTCCTCTGGGTGCGCAGCTCACCCAAGTTGTTCTCGCTTGTTTCTATAAAGGCATTCTTGATGGCCGTCCATTGTTCTTCTACGCTGCCACCTTCTGGAACGTCCGCAGCTCGAGTCTCAAGTTCATGAACAAAATACCTTTTTACCGCTGGATCTTCAAGTCGGCGTGTGTTGAACCGCCGCCCGAGTCTCTCCTCCCGTCGCTGGATCCGCGCCATGCGTAGGCGAATTTCACCGATTAGAAGGTGATGGTCAGACGCGGTGTCGGCGCTGCGTTTATTCCGGACATCAAGAAGGCTCCGTCTCCATTTTCGGCTGATGCAGATGTGGTCGATCTATTTTCGGTATATCCATCACGGGAAACCTACGTTACTTTGTGCACTGGCCGATGGGGGAAGAGCGAGCCCCCGATCACCATGTCGTTATTGCCACAAAATTCTGCAAACAGCTCACCGTTCTCGCTCATTTCGCCGAGACCATGGCGTCCCATGACACGCTCATAGTCCGTGTTATCGGAGCCGATCTTCGCATTGAAGTCGCCAGTGTAGATCTTGATGTCACCCTTTGGAACCTTATCCACGACGGCATTCAGTTGACTGTAAAAATTCTCCTTGTCCTGTAGCTCGGCAGCATCGGTTGGCGCATAACATTGGATTATGGTAAGGTTACGAGCCCGTGTTCTAAATCTGGCAACGATTATCCTCTCATTAACAGGCTCCCACTTGATGAGCGCAGCACTTGCCTGGACGCTAAGTAGGAGACCAACTCCACGATGGCGGGGAGCGTTTTCACCTCGAATACCAGAGTATAGTAGTACCTGTCCCGACGGCAGTTTGTGTTCTCCAAAGTTTGGCCAACGAACTTCACTCAGTCCCAGGATTTCTAGCTTCATGCGTCGCGCCTCGTTGGCGAGTTGTGCCAGTTTACCCTGCTGGGCTAACGTCAATACATTCCATGATCCAATTCGTGTCCGTTGTTTTGCGCTAAAAGTCATTGCCGTTAAATCAGTTCGATGTCTTTCTCTGTTGGTTTCTGTAACAATTGTAAAGATTTCAGAGACAGTAGGTGGTTGGCCTAAGGTCTCCTATCCGCCGTGATGGGGCTGCCATCTTAGGTGTAGCTTCCGGGGAAGAGCATTTCTTATTCAGCCGGTGGATGCCAGTCAGACGCTGTTTGAGCCGCACCTCCATGGTGAACGCTCGGGTTGGCGAAGCATTTCCTCTGCCACCGTGCTATGGTTACCGCGCCAGTGTTCGCGTCGCACCTCCTCACTCTGCTATTGTCGGATTGACAACATTGCCCAGGCTACGCCAACCAGCTGTGTCCATGTTTCAGCTGGCAGTCTTTTGTGATCATATGACTCGTGGAGGCGTGAGGACCGGAGCTAGGTATATCGCTCCTTCCAGATTGTCACTCACCATTTTGTAGCCCTTTGAGCTGCGTTGCAGCGTTAGAAATCATCTCAACGTTGACATCAATTGCACCCAGCGTTTGACCAATTAGTGGGATGTTCCTGGCTGCGAGGGAAACATGGTCGTCACTTAGTCTCTCATCAGTGAACACACTGGCAAAATTGACAGAAAAAAGGCGGCAAATATCCTGCGTTGCTCGTTCACGTAGTTCCAGAAGGATTTCGGGTGTAGTTTAAGGTTACGCTGAATACCTCGTTGAAATCGCAGAAAGCATCGACGACTGGCTCGCTGATACTCGTGATTAAGCCTCACGTAGTGATGTTTCAGAGGAAGCGTGCGATACTTCGTAAATCTTCTCAATGCAGCTCTTTTGGTCGACTTCAACCTACGCAGCTCAATCGTCTGCCAGGGAGGGTGAGAGTCTTTGCGGTGAATTCTTTTCGGGATGTGTCTGTCAATGACATATGCCAAGACATGAGAAAAAGTTTGCGCAGCGGCCTCAACGTCGTCATGATCGAGAATGTTCTCCCAGTCCATGTTTGACAACACATCTACAATGCTTCGATGGTCGGCCTTTCGAAAGTCATTAGAAACCGCAGCAGGAAGACTATCGAAATCACGAACGAGATTGTCCTCAACAGTGACAATCAGAAGAGGGTGGTGCGGAACAAGCTTAACTAGTGGACAAGGTGCTGTGGAAATGAACGGGGCATTGTCCTGAGTGTTCACGTTCCTCAAGGTTCAGTCATTGCTGTCACCTTGTTCCCGGTAGCCATGAAAGTGTTTTCGAGCGGTTACCAGCGAACATCTACATATTCGTGTACGCAGACGACGTGCTAATCGTAGCCACAGGTCAGACTCCGGGACGAACGAGGATCAGGGCCCAAGCAGAGCCAGATGGGCCGTTTCGAAAGCTGTCTGCTGGAAAGAGCGCTAGGTGCCACGTTTGCCAGTACCGACATCGGGTCTGCCGACCATCCATAAAGATCGGTTATCAAGCCAAGCCAGGACCTTCAAGGGGTCATCTTCAGCTATCGCAGCAGGTCAGTCATAGACAGCCGGCTGATGTATGGACTAGAGCTGACCTGCATCGCCACCGACAATACAAACACTCGCTCCGGTGTACAATAGCTACACGCACATCATCTCCGGTCTCCTGCCCTCGACGCCAGCTGATGCCAGCTGTGTCGAAGCCGGCACTCTCCCTTTTCGGTACCGCATCAACGCAGCCATTGCCAACAAAGCCGCTGCATTTTCAGCAAATACCGCCGTCATTAACTGCATCAAGTACAATTTTTCAAGTATTATACCAAATGGGGTAGACCCAGAGAATTCTGAGGAGACCTCCAATTGAATTTCAAAAGATCTTAATTTTGAATATAATTTAAAAATTCGTTTCTAATTCTAGTCAAATACCTAAGTTATTAAAAACGTCACAGGAACTAAACATTCAACATCTATCTTTCTTTCATGTAGCCCTCTGCCTCTACTCGATGGTCTTCATGCGCTTCGCCTGGAAGGTGCAGCCGCGGAACATGCTCCTGTTAGGTTGCCACATTACCAACTTCACCGCCCAGAGCATCCAGGGAGCGCGGTGCGTGGAGTACAACTACCTGGGGAAAAAGGATGTTGCCGCTCCAACCGAAGCAAAGAAAACCAAGTAAACTCAACTGAACGCGTTGAGTTGACTAGGGATGGTAGGGAATTCTCTCGAATGGTGGATGTCGAATCAAGCTAGCAAAATTTTCAAAGGTATAACTATTAAGAGTTGTGTAAGTTAACAAGCTGTTTCTCCAGGACTAAAAGTTCACAGAACAGGTGCTTTCGTAAACAAAGGGAATATGATTCTACTGATTTATAGGTTTAACGATTGATCCGGAGTTAGAGTGGACGTTTTTGTGTTGTTGTTGTTGTGGAGCTTGCAACGGTCCAGTGTCGGGTACTGTCAGTTTACAAGGGAAAACGATACAATACAGGGGGGTTAGAAAGGGGTAGAGCGTAACACTTTTTAGACAAACTTAACACGTAGGATATAAAATTATACAAGCGCACTTTTGCACCATTTGTAGTAAACGATAAAACCGTAGCGGTACCAAAACATTGCACAGAGATTCATAGACAAATAGATCGTTCCACAGCTTAATTACCTCAGGATTTAGTTCATTTGCCAATAAGTAGACGTAATAGCAAACAAATCTTCAACGCTCAACCTCTTATTCGTTTTATAGTATGATAACGAGATTACAATAAACCGATTCAATTGTAACAAAAGACAACTTTCGTTACTTATGGTCTCTTAGATCTAAAGCTAATACAACGATCGAAAAATTCCCACAAATTGATGTTACCAACACGAATGGTCCAATTATTAAACGTAGTCGCGTTCAAAGACGAAACGAAACGAAACAAACTGAAAACGTGTGTCGTGCCACGTAAGTACACAACTAATTTTACGGGGATACTTTTCTTTTACAAACATGTTACGCAGGTATTCAAAAAAAAAAATATATATATACCTATCTGATTGCAAAAATCTGCTGAAACGCTTGTTTCCTTTAGCGATGACATTTAGCCAGGATGTGATATGCAATAAGAACACCGCTGATTTCGAAACATCCCACAAATATTTACAATTATTAAGTTTTTATCAGAAGTCACAATTCGAACGAATACCTCATAAGTAGCAAATTTGGTTTGAATTTTCACGCCTTATAATTCTAATGACTGATTTGAGGGAAGTTTTTCTATCTCACCCAATGCAGACTCGGTACATACCTGAAAACACCCTAATTATAGCCTTCTACGGAATGATCAACTGTTCCTCATCGCTGGCAAACTCGTCCTGATCTCCGTCCCCAACCGCCTCCTCATCCTCCTCCTCTTCCTCCTCGTCCTCTTCGCCAAATTCCTGCTGCATGCTATCATCATCCAGCTCCTTCTTAACACCAAACTCAACGCCCCCATCTCCGCCATCCTGTTCTTCCCCATCCATTGGCAGCTCCTGCAGACACGATCCCATATCCAACTGTTCGTCGTCTTCCTCCATAGCGGGATGCTCGTGTTCGCCACCTCGATCCTCAAACGACCCAAACCGACCGGCGATGATGATGAACACCTTGCACTTGGTGCACTTCCAAGCGATGCGGCCATCGCTCATGAAACGATCCGACGAGTAGCGATAGCCTTTGTACAGGACGAACCGCTGGCCGCGCTTGCCCGGGATCAGCTTGTAGTAGATTTGTTCCTTGGTTTTCGAATCCGTCATGTACCCATCGAGCACGGTATCCTTGGAGTAGTCGTCCTAGGGCGGTTAGAGAAGATGGGGAAGTGTGTGGTATTACTTTGATAACGCAATGAGGAAATCATAGCCCTTATGTGCATGAGGATGTTTTGCGTTTATCTACACTGTGCAAGTCAAATAGGAGCTGGGTACTCCGTCATGCACATAACGGACAAAAACGCAAATTTATTTATTTATTTATTTATTTGTAATTCACCTGACATATGTGGTCTTCATGAATATAAGAATACATTTTCAAAACAGCTACAAATTTGACAAACTAGTAATTCTATTTTTAAAATGACCAGAAGTTTCGCCGAACTCAAAGAGATTCTCCACCACCGAAAAAGCTCGAATCATCGACGATATTGGTTCATTATATCCAAACAAAGTACGGTGAAATCTGTCCTGTAGTAGTGACCGCTGCCGAAGAGGACGTTGAGCAGCACGGAAGTCCAACATAGAAAGTAGCCGGGGAGAATCGACTTCACCATTTAGCAACTTCGCCGCGAATGTCGCCTGTTGTATTCTTCGCCTTCTTTCAAGGGTGTCCATGCCGAACAGTCTACATCGATCGGGATGAGCAGGGAGGTTCAACGGATCGCTCCAAGGTAGATGACGCAGTGCTAGCCGATTGAATCGTCACTGGACACGTTCAATCCTTAAGGTCCAGGAAACATCATTTGGAGTCCAAACAACAGAAGCGGTTTCGAGAATTGGCCGTACCAGCGCGCAATACAAGGATTTCAAGCAATATGGATCCGTAAAATCCTTTGCAATTTTCGAAATAAAGCCCAACTGTCGATTCGCCTTGGCAATTATCGAAGTGTAGTGAGAATTGAACGTCAGTTTTGGATCCAGCACAACTCCGAGCTCAGTAATCACTTCAACTCGTTTAAGTGAAGTACCCTTGATGCGGTAATCGAACAATATCGGTTGTTTTGAACGATGAAAGGTCATAACAGAGCACTTCGGTACGCTAATAATTAACTTGTTCTGATGGCACCAGTCAGAAAATAGGTCTAGAAGATGTTGCAAACGGTGGCAATCTTCAGTTGAGCGAATAACTAAATATATGTTCAGGTCATCGGCGTAGATGATCACGCAGACCAAGCCTAATTTCGAAGCAACGTCGTTGAAAAACAGTGGTCCCCAGTTGCTTCCTTGGGGAGCACCGGCTGTATTACAGAAGGTCGAAGAAACACAGGAGCCAAATTAAACGCGGAGTTTCCTTCCCGTTAGGTAAGAGTTCAGCCAAGACACTAGCTTAGAGCATGATCCGAGACGTGACAGATTAGCCAACAGCACTTTCGATCTTATCGAAAGCCACCTTCAGGTCAGTATAGATGACATCAACTTGAGCCTTGCTTTCCATAGCAGTTATGCAAGTGTTGGTGAAGCTTAGTAGATTCGTCGTGACCGATCTTCCAGGTATAAAACCGTGTTGAACGGTAGACATATAGCTGTACGACTGGCGTAGAATCATATCGCTGACAATTATTTCAAACAGCTTTGACGCAGCTGATAAGCTCGTTATTCCTCTGTAGTTCCTGACGTTTTTCTTGTCACCATTTTTGAAGACGGAAAACATAAGTGACTGCTTCCATACCTCAGGAAAAAACCCCTTCATCAAGTGACCGGGTGAAAATTGCAGACAGTGGCTCAGCTAAGTCAACAGCACAGCGGCAAAACAAAATCGATGGTATACCGTCGGGACCAGCAGAAAGCAAACTTTTCAACTTTTTGGCAGCATATATGATCATTACAAAGTAACTACGAATGTCGACAGACTAATGAAGTCCATGGGAGGAATGTCTAAAGCAGCAGACTCCAAAAGCTTTTTGGATTTCTCCGAAGATTAGTCTGCACTCTCATGACATGAGCCTTGTACAAAAGTGAATTCAAATTGCGATACGCCTTACTAGCACGTTTGAATCCAAGCTTGCTGTCAGACGTTGTTTGGCATTTTTCTCACGTTTCAACTTTCGCAACAGTGGCGTACTCCAGGCAGGCGAAAATGGACGTCTAGTGGGTGGAATATTCCTCTGCAACCACTGTTGAATAATAGAGCAGAAGTTTGAAGCCATTTCATTTACATCCTCACAATTCAGACAAGCCCAGTCAATCGTAGAAAGGTACTCTCGAAGCATGCCGTAGTCAATCTTGCCAAAATCAAGAGTAGGCTCACAGTCAGCATGGTGCGGATCATCAACCTGGCACCTGGCTTGAACGGGAAGAAACATTTCCAGCGGAGGATGGTGCAAATCTATAGGCAACAGTGCAACAGCAGCCTCATTTACGGTTACCCCACAGTTGGTCGAACAAAACACTATATCCATCGTTCGATCAGAATGGTTACGAATCCAGTTAGCTTGATATAAATTCAAAAAATCCATTCCATCAATCAAAGCAGCGCTTACAGAAACACCTCGCCGTTCGGCATTCTGCAACCACTGTAGGCGGGGCTGGTTGTAATCACCACATATCAGCACCAGGTCATCAAACGAAGCGCTGTCACACAGTTCACGAACGGAGGCCACATGTTCATCTATCAGTTCTGCATCACGGCTACGGTCAGGAGGGATGTACACAGCACTAATCAGCAAACGATTACGACCAATAACAGCATCAACAAACACCTGTTCCAACCTTTCACCGTATCGCGTCTGAACTTGAGTACAACGGTAACGGTGATGGACTGCAATCAGTACACCTCCGAAGCTCGATTTATCACTGTTCCTGCGGCAGCGATCACAGCGAAATACGGTGAACGATGATCCGAAAATTTGCAGAGAATCGATGCAGTCATTTAATCCAGTCTCTGTCAGTATGATGACGTCGTAATTGCACTCCATAACAGCCAAAAGCAAGTCGTTAATTTTAGTCCTAACACCTCGGACGTTCTGGCAGTAAAGCCATACAGGATCGACTGGGGATACACCAGGCTGCAACATAAAACGGTTGAGTGTATGAGGAGACGAATTTACAAAACAATACTCGCCTGTGATGGAAACCCTAGGGTTCCCACCGTCCGCAGTACAGAGCTCCAAATTGGTGTTCGATCGTTGTCCACTGGCTAGTTCAAAATTTGGCGAGAGTTTTTTGGCTGGTCCACAAATTCCCTGAATACCAGTCCGTCCGGCCAAGTCGACGAAAGCAGCGCACCTTTCCTTGTGAGAATAGGTCTCGGTTGGCACGGTGATTGAATCCACAACATTGTTGGCTAATGTGGAAAGAGGCATCACAAAAGCCGCAACGGATGGGTTCGAGATCGTTCACTTCCAATTTGCATTCTTTGCACTGCTTCTTCGCCATTGTTGTCTGTTGTGATTCGTCAGGAACAGAAACGGGGTAATGGCTGTTGCTTTGCTTGTTGGATGATCGATCGAATAGAATTCACTACCGAATTGCAGCGGCCTGTCCAAGGATTTCCGATAATTTCGACGCGCGGCAGGATCGTTATCACCAAGCAGTACGGGTAAAACTTAAGTTGCGAATTTATGGTAAATTTACACAACAAAAAACATCAAAATAATCGACGATTAAAATGAACAGTTAGACAATTAAAACGAGCGTTGTTTCTACATTGGGACCGACTTGTGATGAGCGGAAGTGCAGATGTCGAAAATCGATGTATGCCACCATTTTGGAATCCAATATGGCGGCCATTGGTTTAGAAAAAAAAACAACTGTTAAACAAACTAGTCAAAATGGCGGCGCATATCGATTTTCGACATCTACACGTCATTCCGGTTGGTTTTTCTAAAACCAATGGCTGCCATTTTAGATTTCAAAATGGCGGCAGACATCGATTTTTCATCCCCGTTCCGAAAATACCCACTTTATAGGGTCAATCGATTAATCTTTTCAGTGACGACAGTTGAAGATGATGATCGGAGATTATCGCAATTTCATATTATCATGATCTGCAAAAACAAATGATAATTGCATTTCCAGAACGGTGCGTTGTGATTTTTGGGTTTGCAAAGACTCCTGTCTCCAGTTGCACCAACAATTAATTAAAGATTTGGCACGTTAAGTTTAGTTAGGTAGATAATCATATTTTTTTTTCAATTGAATCAAAATATGCTCCCAAAGGGGAATAATGTAAACTTTTTCTGGAACGAAAAATTTACATTACCTAATTAAAATGCAAATCCAAAGATGAGCCCTTCAGCATATCACTTTAACAGCTTAATCAATAGATATAAAAAGTAATTTTACAACTACTACACTGCCGGTGGACGCATAATTGTCCCATATGATACGAACTTACACTAATGTGGCAAGGAAAACAGTACCCAATACTCACATTCGGTCTATGATTATGCGCCCACTCGCTCTCTCTGATAACCTTCCCGGCCCAGTTGGTGAACACATTCGCCGGGCAGTTGAACAGGCTCTTCTTGAAGCAGGCCCACTTCGAGTACTGTCGATCGGTCCGCGGAAACCCGTACTCGTAGCCCTTGTGGATCATCACATTCTTCTTGGCGGCGGATCCTCCTCCTCCTCCTCCTGCTGCTTTCCCGCCGTCTACTCTGCTAGCTCCATCCCCATTCCCATTGTTGACACTGACCACCGCTTGTTCCGGATATTGAGGTTCATCCGCCATGAAATCAGGTAAAGGGCGATTCATGTCGTACTGGGCCGGATGGTTGTGCGGGTGGCCATTGGACGAGCAGTTGGTGAAATCCATTCGAAACGAGAGAATAGCTTTGCAGTTCTCTTTTCCGTTGTGCTTCATACATCGCCAGTATGTCGTTTGCTTCTGAGTGGATCTTGCGTACCGATACTTGTACCCATTGCAAACCACTTGTGTTGGGTAGATTTTGCTCCGGTGGCTTGTGATCAGTTTGTAGGTTACTTTTTGCCCGGTATGTACGTCCAGAATGGTTCCGTCCATGGGGTGAGGAATAGGTTTTCTGTCCGGCTGGTGATTATGACGGTGGGGACCGCAGGTTACGGCTCCATTCGGCGAAACCAGAATAGCAGCACGGCATTTGAGCTTCGATTTGTACATACACCTCCAGTGGACTTTGCCGTTCGCACGGGAAGTGGCACAGGTGTAGCGGTATCCTCCGTAGTAATAGTCTTGTACGTTCTCGCGACGAGCTCGCTGTTTTGGCAATGGCTTCAGTTTCCACGGCTCCAGTGCGAGGCCATTGCCCAGCATTGGATCACGCGGTTCAAATGAACTAACATTGTCCGATAGATTGCCGTAGTCTTCCTCGTCTGGGATGTCAAATTCGTCGGAATCGATTGGTTCAAAATCTTCCGGCTGTTCCTCGTTTTCTTCGTTGAGCAACTCCGCAGCAGGGCAGCTATCCTGCACGTCACCATAGAAGTCTACTTTAGATGGCTTCCGACGCCCACGAAGGATTGAATCATTTGCCAGACACTGTTCTTTGTAGAAGAAAAATTTCGTCACTTCCTGTATGCATATTCGGCAAACGAATGTATCGTAATCTTCTTCGAAGGTAAGCTGAAATTGTAAAATTTCCATCAAATCACTAGTAAATTGCTGGTTGGAACAAAGCCAACCGAAACCCATTTTATTTTAATGACAAAATCAATAACCCCAACCCTTTTCTTAATGCTACATACATACCGCAATCGTGAGGCAATTAAGAATCCTATGCAGCAGTGCTTCGTCTGGGGTTCCATTCGGAGGAAACAATGGTTTCAATTGCTGTTCCTTGGACAAACACAGCCGACAATACCGCTGGTTGGTGCTCGATGCCATCGTTATCTGCTCCTCCAAATCCGGCGGCTCGTCGAGTTTCCCCTCGAATCCATTCCGCTTCTGATGGGTCACCTGCGGGTACCAGCCGCTGCTGCTACTGCTGTTGCTGCTATTATCGCCACTTCCGGCACTGGTCGACGCCATTTTAGACAGTTGTAAAATCACCGCAATTTTTCGGGTTGGACGCCCTTCAATTAAAACTTTTTCCCTTCTGAAATATCGACGAATCTACCCACAGCCAATTTTATGTTCGACACAAAAGACACAAACACGACGACTGCACTTCCATCAGCCAAAACCAGGGCATCACAATCACAACAACAACAACAACAACAACACAACGAACAATTTGACAGCTTGTTATGCTTCTTTTCGCTCGGCTTCGGTTCGTTCGTGACGTTCGTGACGAAACGATTTTTTCTCGATCATCGTAGCCGGGAGGGGAGGAGACAGGAGCATAAAATAAAGTAAACAAAAAAGTTACCGATCGGTTGTGGTTGTGGGTTGCAAATTATGCTGCGAATGTGGACGCTCGGTAGTTATGGCCTGTTCACATATGTGCTGGTTCATAATGCTGATTTACCAAAATCGGTGTAATCCAAACAAGTTTGTGCCAGAAATCTTTTCGAAAGATTCAAACTTTGTATTTTTCAGGAAGGGTGTTGAAATTCTCTTAGGTTGAAATGGAGGAGCATAGAACAAGATCAAAAGAAGTACAGCTGCGGTTTGCGGTACAGTTCGATAACAAAAATACAGACATTAGATGGGGGAAATGGAAGTAATGTCGGCTTAAATGCCCCTAATTTTTTCAATAGCGACCAAAAATATCCATTAGTACTGACCCAATGACGCGTTCATGTAGATAAAATGGAAAAATAGCAGATTTTTAGCGATGAGCCAATCTTAGATCCTTAGGCAAACATTAGAGCCATTTCCTCTATAACGCAGATAATGCAACATATTATTAAGAAAAATCTGGACGATTGTTTGACGCTGGGACGGGTTTGACGGGTTTGACGTTGTTTATTGATCAACCCAATGAAAATAAAACAAGCAGCGCTCAACACTCAATTTAAATTGACCAGTAAACTTTACATGCAGGGTTGTTACAGTTGGCGCGGAACTCGTGTTTCGGGCGTTTTTTGAACTCTGCATATGTGGCACGGGTTTTGCAGAAAGCTTATCATAGAAAATAAAACCATATTTCTTTATTTATTTATTTTTTTATTTTTCCTTTGGTTTGCTTTTTCCGTCGATCTTGTTTTCCGTGCTGAGCACCAATGCTACCGACGTACCAGGAAGGCAGCCCCCAAACCTGGACCCTACCTATCGACCCATCAACTCATGAACCGGGGACCAACGGCTTTGCTTCCCATCCGAAGGAAGGCGTGATCAGAGATGTTATGCCTCAGAACATCCCGGCGGCGCCGACTGGGATTGAACCCAGGCCTGCTGGGGTGAGAGGTAATCACGCTTACCACTACACCACCGGCGCCGTTTATTTATTTAAGGGGAGGTTTACTTGGATTTGGCTGAAAAACAGTTGAACTTTGGATTTTTTTTTTCAGGAGAATGAAAAGACATACGAACTTCCGGTTTCGATAATTATATTTGTCCACTATTCCTGAAATTTTTTGAAGGTAAAAAAACAAAATGGCGGCTCAAAATGGCGGCTCGCGTGGAGGAGTGTCAGTCAGGTTTTGCTGCAGAACTTCGAGTGCACACCCTCTGGTGGTGAACTGAAATGAAATTTTTTTTATTGTGGTTAAAGTTGATAATATTCCCTATGGCTTATACCTAACTAGAACGAAATCCGACAAAAATTGACCAAGTTATGGACATTTGAAAATTTACTGCTTTTTTTACCCCTTTTTTTCTCACTTTGACCTTGCTTAAAAAATAGTAACTAACAATTTTTTTTTTCATTTTAAGTATAAGCCATACAAAAAATAGTATCCTTCAAAGCGCAATTTTCCGATTGTAAATCGGATCATTTGTTCAAGCCCTATGCTCTAAGTTGTTATAAAAAATATGGTTTCGAGAAAAACGCGTTTAAAGTTTTTGTTGCGTCCCTCAGCGCGCATGACAAAGGTTCACTCAAAGCGCCATAACTCGCTAAATATGTTTCGGATCGTAAAATCCTTTTGGCCACATATTCTACACTGAAACAAATCGACATGTACCGTTTATTGGATCCATCTTATAACATAGCAATGTCAGCAGATTTATTCATTCTATGTGATGATTGATAGACTCCATTGGATTATCACTTAAAAACTATGACTGCGATATGGAATGATTTCTATCATAATTTCACATACTTAGTACTTGATAATACTTTGCTTCGATGTATATGAATACTGTCTGATATATTTCATGGTGAAAAACTGTTGATATGTCATGGGTGGGAACAGACATATACAAACTAATGGAAAATCATATAAGTTTGCACTATGAGAAAATTCAGTAAAATATAACTGTTTTCATGATGAATATTGCTCACTAAAAGATATATCTTATAAGATATTTATGTTTATTTTATTGAAGTTGCTATTAACGATTTTTGACGTTTGTTGATATGTTGCGTGTAAACAGACATGCTGCAACTATTGGACTGTCATTTAATTTTGCAGGATAGGAAAACATGTATATCTCATTGTAATAGCATCCTTTGATGTTTGACGTTTAAAGATTGTTAACAGATCTATCCCAATCATTATATAGTCATATAGATTTGCCTTTTAAGAAATCCAACAACAAACATTTGTTTTGGCATGTTTTTCTGGGATGAATATCGCTCCCAATAAAATACATCTTACATGATTGTTCTTCATATATTATTGAAACAATTTTCAACGATGTTATCGTACACTCATTAAAATGATTAGTCGATCTAAATATAGCTAACAATAATGATACTATATTGAATAATCCTTCTTTGTTATTGTTCCATGAGATAAGGGGTTCCAAAAAAGAATGTATTGAGATTGAAAAAAAAAATTCTACTGCAATATTTACTTTGCTAAGATTCTAATTGTTAGCCTTCTACGGCTAATTCAGATTCCAGCACTAGTACTCGAACTTCATGAACCAGTTCCATGAAATCATATAATGTAGTCGTTGTTTTATTGCACACAGGAGCATTAAGAAAGATTTGAACAAACGACACCACCGAAACGGAACATAAATTTGCCAGTGCATTTTTTTTCACTCTAGCAAAACGAGAATAACGTTGCACCGAGGGGGGCGACTCTACCTACGATGAAGGAAAATTTTGTTTTGCTGTGGTTAGCTGCGCGCACGCTGAGTAGATAGAAAGCAGATTGATGACGATTCTGAAGATTTCCTGCAAAAAATTGTTGCGCGATGCAAGTAGATGCGAAAAATGGTAGAAGATTGTTCGAAGATTCATTCGCTAGTACGAGATTTTTCGAGTATCTTCTTCTTCTTCTTCTTCGCATTTCAAGCTTATTGCATATCGCATATAAGCTTATTGCGTGCTCTCAACTTAGTGTTCTAGATGCACTTCCACAGTTATTAATTGAGAGCTTTCGATGCCTGTACCATTTTTGCATTGGTATAATTGTGTGGCAAGTCCAATCATACTTCTATGCCCAGGGAAGTCGAGAAATTTTCCAACCCGAAAAACTCCTAGACCGGACCGGGAATTGAACCCAGCCACCTCCAGCATGGTCTTGCTTTGTAGCTGCGCCTTTACCGACTGAGCTAAGGGAGGCCCCCTTTTCGAGTATCTAGAAGTGAGATTTAGATGTGTCGCCCCCCTCGCGTTGCACTACATTCCATGTCGGGAGAGCTGTTCTTACTTCATGCTAATTGAACGAGCTCAATATTGAAGTAAGCCGTGGCCCAGTGGAATAGAGCGCAGACACCGAAGCATCACACCTCAACAGTTCTTGATCGAATCCCAAATCAGCTACAATAAAAAAGACACAACTGTGAAAGCTCCCCACTGCCTGATGTTTATTTTTCGATTTATTTTTAGAAATCGATTAAATATATGTGTCAAAAGAAGAAGTAAATTTCATGTGATTTTCACATAAACTTTACTTCGATTGATTTATGACACATATATTTTATTGTGCTGAAAAGTAAAGCTTTTGCTTATGGGTTTCAAATCCATTTCAGTTAATTATTGTAATTTGGTCAATTTTCATTTATCATATGACGATCATATAAATGTTTCCAAATTATCAGCATTGTAAATGTATCAGATATTCATATAGAATTTACCTGACACATTTTCAATCATATCATTTTCATTTGATTATCTAATAGCGCAAATTTATTAGACTTCCACATAACAGGAATTTGTCATATTGGTTCAGTGTACACACTTGTAGGTTTCATTTTATGCAAAAAAAAATCATTTTTTTTGAAAAAATCCAAGTAAACCTCCCCTTAATTATTTATTGATTTATTTATTTATTTATTTGTTAATTCATTCATTCATTCATTCATTCATTCATTCATTAATAGATTCATTCATTCATTCATTCATTCATTCATTCATTCATTCATTCATTCATTCATTCATTCATTCATTCATTCATTCATTCATTCATTCATTCATTCATTCATTCATTCATTCATTCATTCATTCATTCATTAATAGATTCATTCATTCATTCATTCATTCATTCATTCATTCATTCATTCATTCATTCATTCATTCATTCATTCATTCATTCATTCATTCATTCATTCATTCATTCATTCATTCATTCATTCATTCATTCATTCATTCATTCATTCATTCATTCATTCATTCATTCATTCATTCATTCATTCATTCATTCATTCATTCATTCATTCATTCATTCATTCATTCATTCATTCATTCATTCATTCATTCATTCATTCATTCATTCATTCATTCATTCATTCATTCATTCATTCATTCATTCATTCATTCATTCATTCATTCATTCATTCATTCATTCATTCATTCATTCATTCATTCATTCATTCATTCATTCATTCATTCATTCATTCATTCATTCATTCATTCATTCATTCATTCATTCATTCATTCATTCATTCATTCATTCATTCATTCATTCATTCATTCATTCATTCATTCATTCATTCATTCATTCATTCATTCATTCATTCATTCATTCATTCATTCATTCATTCATTCATTCATTCATTCATTCATTCATTCATTCATTCATTCATTCATTCATTCATTCATTCATTCATTCATTCATTCATTCATTCATTCATTCATTCATTCATTCATTCATTCATTCATTCATTCATTCATTCATTCATTCATTCATTCATTCATTCATTCATTCATTCATTCATTCATTCATTCATTCATTCATTCATTCATTCATTCATTCATTCATTCATTCATTCATTCATTCATTCATTCATTCATTCATTCATTCATTCATTCATTCATTCATTCATTCATTCATTCATTCATTCATTCATTCATTCATTCATTCATTCATTCATTCATTCATTCATTCATTCATTCATTCATTCATTCATTCATTCATTCATTCATTCATTCATTCATTCATTCATTCATTCATTCATTCATTCATTCATTCATTCATTCATTCATTCATTCATTCATTCATTCATTCATTCATTCATTCATTCATTCATTCATTCATTCATTCATTCATTCATTCATTCATTCATTCATTCATTCATTCATTCATTCATTCATTCATTCATTCATTCATTCATTCATTCATTCATTCATTCATTCATTCATTCATTCATTAGAAGGTCCCGAAGAGACGTGCCCAACTTTTTGACTCAGCTCTGGTACTATCTTCGGTCCCAAGCTAATCTATTCACCCCTCGAAACCTAGGAAAATCCACTAGCCCCTTATTTTATCTGTCAAACTTTCCTAGCAAATCAAAACTAACATAGTGCAGTACTAGAATTTTGACTAGAATGGGGTACGTAATCGATTTCCTTGGGACCAATAGGCTAGTCAAGTAGTGAGCCAATTTAAAATCGTTAGTTTCGTATTGATTGTTGGTACAAGGGGTGAATCGATTTGCTTTGGACCGAAGAGATTACCAGAGCTGAGCCAAAAAGTTGAGCACGTTATTTCGGGACCTTCTAGTCTTAGAGTTACCTCTATGGCACAACAGTGTACTTTGTATGTCTGTACAAGGTATTAGCATAGAGGTAACTCTAAGACCAGAAGGTCCCGAAGAAACGAGCTCAACTTTTTGGCTCAGCTCTGGTACTATCTTCGGTCCCAAGCTAATCGAAGCACCCCTCGAAACATAGGAAAATCCACGAACCCCTCATTTTATCTGTCAAACTTGCATAGCGAATCAAAACAAACATAGTGTAGTGCTGGAATTTATACTAGAATGGGCTACGTTAGTCGATCTGCTTGGGACCAATAGGCTAGTCAAGTAGTGAGCCAGTTTAAAATCGTTAGTTTCCACCGGTTGGTTCCACTATGTCTTTGCAAAATACTTAGAATTGGAAACGCAAAGAAATCAATATTGACTGGTTGCACTTAGCTGTCAAGGTGAGTAAAAAAGACTTAATTTTGAGTTGTTTCGTCTTTCCATGTATGTTTTCATCTCGTGCGTTGTTTATTTTTATCCGGGCTACGAAATTGGCCTCTGATGGCCATCTCCAGCCGGCGCCGGGGGTGTAGTGGTAAGCGTGATAGCTTTCTCACCCCAATGGGTTCAATCCCAGCCGAGGTCGGTGGGATTTTTCTGAGGCATAAAAATCTCTCGTCACGTCTTCCTTCGGAAGGGAAGTAAAGCCGTTGGTCCCGGCCCATGTGTGTTGAATGGGTGCGATATCTTACGCAGGTGTGGAAGCTGCCCTCCTGCACATTCGATTGTCGTCTATGGATGGCAATCGATGTCCGAAGATAGTACCAGAGCTGAGCCAAAAAGTTGAGCACGTTTCTTCGGGATCTTCTGGTCTTAGAGTTACCTCTATGGTTTATCGTTATACACTGAAGTCGCTATTTACGCGGTTTTTACACGGTTCTTTTACGCGGCTTTTTTTTACGTGGATTTCAGAATTTACGCGGTTTTTTACGTGAATTCCGGAATTTACACGGTTTTTTTTCTTACGCGGGACGAATCACCGGCGTAAAAAGCGACTCCAGTGTAGTTCCACATAGATTCGCAAATTGTTTCGGATCGTTGTTTTTAGAATTACTTGTTATTTTAAACAGTTGTTTATTATTCTCCAATATAGCATTTTACATATTTGGTTCCCTGTTTTTGTACACGACTAATACTTGAAAAGGGATTATGCAAAAATGATACGCATCAATAAAAAAACATATATCTCGCGAACGATTTATTTGATCGAGATGGTGTCTTCGGCAAAGTTGCGGACAAGTCAAGCATAACTTTTTAAAAGGACGTATGTAACATTGGATAGGAAATTAGAAACATTGTATAGCAATGTCTATATGAGATTATTAAATGCTATTTAAAAGTTAAAGCTATTTTTTTAAATCTGTTTGTGCTATTAGTTGGATAAAGGGAAAGCGTTTAAGAGAATTTTGAAAAATGTCGAGTTTTGCAAACACGGACAAGCCTTTTGATAAAACAAAATCATACACCTTTTACTTGTGTACTACTCACATACACCCTGATTGATTCGTCTTTATCACACCTTGATTGTTACATACACCCTGCATGATTCGTCTATTTGACAGAAGGGTTTTCACATACGTCAAATCAGATACACCGGTTTTTGTTTTGCAGTGAAGATACGTCGGCAGCTCGAAAAGCATTGAGGAATTGTCGGTTGGTTGGTTTATTTACATAACTACCCAGAGTTGTGAAATAATCGATGTTAAAAGCGGAGATAAGAGGGTCACCGCATTATCTGCTGTCAGATGTTATACGTTTTGTGTTTTTCGTATTAAGAAAGCGCTGGTCAGATTGGTATTTGAAGTTCAATACATATTAAAGTCAAGATTAAAGTGCAATTTTATTAGAATACTTTTGAAATAATAAACATGTTGCTCCTGGAAATACAAAAACAAACATACAAACTTGACGCATTTGCTGATTGATAGTGGTTGCTTTGTTTTTTCACATACGACGCTTGACTGTGCGCGTATCTGCAGTTTTTGTGTTATCATCAAATTTTAACAGTTAAGTCATGTTGACAATAAAAGGGTGTATCAACACCATTTTAAAAACATTGAAAGAAGGTCACATAGGGCGTTCATTAAATATATTTTCCATAATGCATTACAATTTCAAATCTTGTTTTTCATTAACTCGTAGGAAAAGCATGTATTTTATATTCGATTAGATGCAAAATATCGATTTGTTTATTTTTGCGACTTACGTCCTTTTGAAAAATTATGCTTGAAGTACTGTGCCTTTCAAGAAAAAAAAATACACTGTAAAAAAATATATGCAAAAAAAATATCAAAATTTAAAAAAAAATTAAAATTACTCAAATTGCATATATTTTTTTTTATTTTTATATAGTAGTTTAACGGCAATTAGCGGTAAATGGAAAAAAGTTTATTCAGGAAAAAGTGATGTTCCGGATCTTTTGGAGGACGGTCTCATAGCCATCTGGGTCCTGTTTATGTCACGACCCCAAATTCTTTCTTATATCAAGCTGAACATTACATTACGTCCCAAGTAAAATTGATCGATTCTCTTCGTCGACTTTCTCTTTCATTAATAACTTGAGCACATATCTGTTTCTTGTTGTATTTGTCGTATTAGATGCTTGATAAAAACTTCTGGGAATGTCTTTAATTGGCCGTAAGGATACAAAGAGAAAGTCGACGAAGAGAGTCTGTCAATGTGACTTAGGACCTAATGCAATTTTCAGCTTGATATCACAGTTCCACGTGTTTTCTAAAAACCTGCGGAGCTCTAGAATCAGTTTCATAGATGGACCACTTTTACCGATTTTCCGTATCATCCGGAGGACGGTCCCATGGCCATCCAGGTTCATGTTTATGTCACCGACTAACCGACATGAAACATAAACTTAACTCTTGATCGAGAATCTATAACGGCCGATTCAAATGTGCAGCCATAGAAATGTTTTATCTAGATAAAAAATAATTTGTCCGAAATAGATTAGATTGGTTCGTGTCTAATTTTTGTACGCGTGTTCGTGGCAGGGATAAATATTTTCCGCGAATACGGCGGCAGATGTCAGTTTTGTGCTTTGATCAGAAATTTCTTTCTAATTTGTATGATCATTCATGTCGGTTTGTCGGTGTTTATGTCACGACCCCAAATTCTTACTTATATTACAGTTCCTAATGTTTTAAAAAAATAACGGAGCTTTAGGATCAGGTCCGTGGACTTACCCCTTTTACGGATGTTCCGGATCTTTCGAGGACCTTTCCGTTTTCTCCAGGATCGATATACAGGAACCATGATTGTATTCTGGCTTATTATGAACATTTGTGCCCATCAATCTAAATTAGAGATCTTAAGCCACTTGCAAAACCCATAAACACACCTTTATAAAAACGTATAATGACTATTTTCGCTGTTTAAACTCGACTACTTAGTCGACCCTATTTTCAATGTGTTTAAAATCAAAATAATATACAGAAGAAATTCATCAAAAAATGGCTAAGCAATGCGTTTGCAAACTTGCCGTTAAACGTTTTTCGGAGGCATCGTATTCGGAGTGTTAAATGAATTGGGTGATTAAGGGTGTGAACACGGCTTTTACACACAGCTTCCACCGAAAAATGTTTCCGCTTCCTAGCAATCGACCATGCGTCCACATTTGTTTACCTCTTGCCGATGCAACACATGGAGAGAAAATGCGAGTAACCTGTTTACTCACCATTACATCAGAACCAGCATTTCCTCCACGCAGTTTTCTCTTCCTTAACATGCGGGTGTCTGTGTGTGGGTGAGTTCCAGGAACTCCTTTGCGTTGCTGTGTATTCTCTTTCTCTCCGGCAACGCCAGCCAGGAGGAAAATCCGATTACATAAAAGTCTCGTCCATTGACAGAATTTTCCTCAGTCCGAGTAGAGAACTTGACCCGAGGCGTCGCGAAACACAACTAAATCTCCTTGGCCTAATCGTGATGGGCGCGTTTTTTCTCCATCCCAGCCCCAAATATATAGAGGAAGAAGAGTGAAAACTGGGAATCGGTGTGTGGCTTTCGTTCGTCGAATCGATTGGTGATTATCCTGTTGTGGGAGGATTGAAGGATGAAACATTCATTGCAGTGAATTTATCGAATGTGTGGACAAGTGAGTTCAAGTTTTTTTTACCGTCTGCGGATAGTCCACATCCATTTGTTTCTCGTCCTGGGGAGATCCGGAATCTTGGTAGACTTTTGCCTGGACACTGGAGGAGTAGACCTGCATGCCAGCTACGATTAGCTGGTAACAATAATGAAAATGATTATGTTCCAAGAACAATTGACGATAAGTGATTCAATTTCCAGATAATCAATTTCGATTAAATGAATAGCAAATGTGTAGACGAAGAATGGAAAAGTGAAAAAATTACATTTTTGCTTCGCGTATTTCCTCTTTTAGTGAGTGTGGGAGCTGGTCGGCTCTTTCTCTCTTTGCTGGTAATTCCTACTGACATTAACTTCGTTGACGACGGTGAGCATGTGTTTGGCAGTTAGTGTAGTGTAGTCAATACGAGCGTGTTGGTATCCTGAGTGCTAGCTCAGTTGGAATAAGTCAGGCTGGAACAGCGGTGGTTGGAATATTTGAAATAGGTATTAAATCAATTCTGAATGCTATTGAATCAACGAACAGGAGCCCAAGTAGCATTGCAAGTTTAATAAGGTTTTATCTAGAAGTAAGACAGCTTTTGATCATGAGTTAGAACGGAGTTAATATTGATTTACTCTGAGTAACTCGAGTTGCTCAAAATTCAATTCAAGCAGACTCAGTAAGCATGTTTTGTTGTGCTCTTTCCCCACTTGTCAAACAACAATATCATCTAACGGCGTTTCATACCGGAACTTCTTCTTCTTCTTCGCATTTCAAGCTTATTGCTTATGGCATATTAGCTTATTGCGTGCTCTCGACTCAGTGTTCTAGATGCACTTCCACAGTTATTAATTGAGAGCTTTCGATGCCTGCTACCATTTTTGCATTAGTATAATTGTGTGGCAAGTACAATCATACTTCTATGCCCAGGGAAGTCGAGAAATTTTCCAACCCGAAAAATTCCTAGACCGGACCGGGACACGAACCCAGTCACCTCCAGCATGGTCTTGCTTTGTAGCTGCGCCTTTACCGACTGAGCTAAGGGAGGCCCCGGAACATCATCCTCGAAATTGCTCGTCCTTCGAAATGTAGTAATTACCTATAGATTATAATCGTTTATATGTGTATCATACCGCTTGCAGATTAAAAACATACCTTCTAGTCACACATCTATGCATATTTACTGGGAAGGCATTTGGTTCGCTTGGCCCTCTCCTGAAATAACCATGGCTCTCAAAATATTCCAATGATTTGTACTGGGGCAGTGATAACATTCAATGCAGCAATGTGACAGTTTCAGGGTAACAGATTATATTCATTATTCTTATTATTATTGCAACTGGACATTTTACAGTATACATTACAGAAATTGTATTATACAAATCCTGTTGTTGATATTTGCAAAATAAAAGGATTGGCTGGGGATTTAATGAAAACAAGAAGCTGCCCAAGCAACATTGCTAGTTTTATCGAGGTTTTAAAGCATTCTACTTGGGTGGCATTCTCTATTCATACTATTGCTCGTTTATTCAAAGAAAAGTTTCCCATATTTCTTGAATAGGGAACTCATGCTCTCCTTGGTGAAATACTTGTCTCAACTCAACTAATGACACATATAGAATGAAAATCTTAGATCTTAGCGAAATGGTGACACGCAGTCGGGTTGAAGAGTTCTGCGATGTATATTTGACGTCCCTACTCGCTAAGGAGGAATCCATTTATTGGTTCGACAAAGTGCGGCCTTGTCGCCAACGACCGACATAGTAAATTTCCTGCACTTGAGCATCGGAACCAGTTCCACATACCAACGAAACTGCCATCTCACTACACAGACAGTTGTACCAATCCAATGACGTTTATATAAGGTCTGGGCCAAAAGGGGTTATTGGTGTTAGTGAAATGTGCAATTGTTTAGTGGTGTTCGTATGTTATTGCAATGTTTATCTTTTACACGAAACAGCTGTTGGCAGTGACGTATTTCTATCTGTTCGCTCTGTTTGCTTCTAATACCAGCAAGCTGCCTGTTGGCCCAGACCTTATATAAATGTCATTGGTACTAATCGGTGGAAAATAACGATTTATTACGACTATGGTTATACCATAGAGGTAACTCTAAGACCAGAAGGTCCCGAAGAAACGAGCTCAACTTTTTGGCTCAGCTCTGGTACTCGCTTCGTTCCCAAGCTAATCGATACACCCCTCGAAACATAGGGAAATCCACTAACCCCTCATTTTATCTGTCAAATTTTCATATTGAATCAAAACAAACATTGTGTAGTACTATAATTACTACTAGAATGGGCTACGTTAATCATTTGCTTGGGACCAATAGGCTAGTCAAGTAGTGAGCCAATAAATCGTTAGTTTCGTATTGATTGTTGGTTGGACCATCTGCTCAGCGTACTACCCACCACAGTGTACTCAACAGATGGCCGTAATGTTTTAGCGTCGATGTTTTACAATGAGAAATATTCAATGTTATATGTCTGTTTGTCTGTGGTTCGCATTTATGTGGGCAGAACTACCAACAATCAATACGAAACTAACGATTTAAAATTGGCTCACTACTTGACTAGCCTATTGGTCCCAAGCAAATTGATTAACGTATCCCATTCTAGTCAAAATTCTAGTACTACACAATGTTTGTTTTGATTCGCTATGAAAGTATGACAGATAAAATGAGGGTTTATTGGATTTTCTTATGTTTCGAGGGGTGAATCGATTAGCTTGGGACCGAAATAGTACCAGAACTGAGCCAAAAAGCTTAGCACGTTTCTTCGGGACCAACTAGTCTTAGAGTTACCTCTATGGAACTACCATAGAGGTAACTCTAAGACTAGAAGGACCCGAAATAATGTGCTCAACTTTTTGGCTCAGCTCTGGTACCATAGAGGTAACTCTAAGACTAGAAGGTCCCGAAGAAAGGTGCTCAACTTTTTGGCTCAGCTCTGGTACTCTCTTCGGTCCCAAGCTAATCGATTCACCCCTCGAAACATAGGAAAAACCAATAACCCCTCATTTTATCTGTCAAACTTTCATAGCGAATCAAAACAAACATTGCGCAGTACTAGAATTTCGACTAGAGTGGGATACGTTAATCGATTTGCTTGGGACCAATAGGCTAGTCAAGTAGTGAGCCAATTTAAAATCGTTAGTTTCGTATTGATTGTTGGAACTATTGTGCTTTGTTCAATACAGTTTCAATTTTGAATTTAATTTTTGCATCGGGTAAATTTGAGTTGCTCATAATTTGTTCAGGATAAGTTCATTTGTTTACATCATGGTTTTACCGGAGCAAGCACGTTGCGATTCGATCCTGCACGCTCGAAACAAAAATCCTGGTATATACGCTCCAGGCAGTTTTCGATCATAAGAGATGAACTAGCCTAAGGCTAAAAAGTTTTCGATCAAATTCCTGGGCAGGCATTCTATACCTCGGTTGACAGGAAGAGTGCCCTGCAAGAATGTAAATCAAAAAGTTCATAGTCTCGCAAGCAATCAGCAGTTATGGGTTGAATAGCGACACTTTCATTACTTGTGGACCAGGAACCAGCAAATTTACCAGGAAGAGTGTCTACGGAAGAGACTACTGCCTTTTCTGGAGCAGCAAGAGGAAGGTTGCAGAATTTCAAGTGGAATGGAATTTGGCAGCCAAACTGCAGAACTGGGAATAGGGCTCGTGCAAAAGATGGTGGGGCCGTGTACGAAGAAAAGTTCGAGCAATGCAAAGCTTTGAGTTTTTGCTTAAAACTCTGCAAGTATCTCTCCGCCTGACCGTTGGTAGCAGGGTGGTACGGTGCACCAATATTAAGTATAATTGCATTCTACTGTAAATTGTGTTCCATGACCGCTCACCGCAGGAATTCCAAATCGACTAATGATTTCACGACACATTTTCTGCGTACTTTCGGCTGTGATCGACTTGCAGACAAAAATTTCCGGCCATTTTGTATAAGCGCATGATGAACAAATATGAATCCAGGAAAGGCCCAGAAAAATCCACATGACTCTCTCAGGGTGTCTACTCAATCCAAGGAATCAAATTCCCTGAGTTTTCCAGGTTTTTCCAGGTCGGATGAAAAAAATTTCCAGGTGCATACAAATTATACACATTATTATTTTATCTATTTATCCATCTGGAATCCCTTTTATGTACTTATTGATTTATGTTATTTTCGATTGTTCAAACTTGGTCGTTGGTACTTATTTGTGTAGTATTTTTTTTAATTCAAGAATATAAATATAAGTAAGAAACCTTTCTATACTATTTCGATAAAACGATATATCAAAATTTGATAACAATATGCTTTCAAAAACAACATATCATTTTGATAATATGTTTGAGTTCAACTATGTTTGGAAGATCAAGACAGAATAAATCATGGTTTCACATGTCTAAAATCTCTTGAGGTCCGTTTTAGACTATCTGATTTCTTGGTCTGACTTTGACCGCCGCCATAATGAAAAATCTGCTCGAATTTACTTTCGACACACTTTGTCGAACCCCCCTGTTTGCTGGTGTTCATACTGCTTGCACATGTCGAAAGAACTGCCAATTTAGATTTCAAAACAAAACTGTATCAGGAATCAAAAGTAAATACTTCCATCATGAATTACCGGAAAATTGCTCTAGTTTCGGCAGACGTATTTGCTTTTATTATTTTAAATAAAATGAGGAAGAGAAGGTGTACTTTGTGGAGTAGGAAATAGTTACTCAGGAGGAACACCGGCAGGGATCTGGCTCATCTTGTCCATCAAGCGCTGCGATATGAAGATGAAAATGGATTTCAAATCTTTGCCAGGATGTCGATACCAACTTTAGACAAGCTAGTGGGAAAAGTTCTCACTAGATATACATGATTCCTTGAGTTCTGAAAATTTCTGTTAACAACTCAATTCTGCAAGGTCTTCAAACCTTCTGACGTCCCTGAAGTTTTGTTTCTGTTCTCCGGTAAAATTTTTTTAAAGATCAACAATCTTTCCTGACAATCTGTAAATTTCTCGGTAGTTCTACAGATTTA